GGGGGGAGAACAGCAGTTCCTGCAGCCATTCTCTGCTGCCTCTGGTGCACACAGCCTCTTCCCATCAATCTTCCAAAAAAATATATATATATTGACTGAAGTAACAAAGGGCAGGTCTGCTGGAATGTGGCAGGACGAAACAGCAGATTAACAGCGGCGATTTAAAAAAAAACCCTCTCCAAAAGAGCTGGGATGTAACCTCCCAGCGAAGGTTTGCCAGTCACCCGGGAAATACTGGGTCTGCCCTGTTTTCTTGACGTGTAAACAAGACAAGGGAATGGCTGGAGTTGGCACCGGTGCAAAAGGAGTCGCTGCCAATCCGGGTAGGTGGCAGTCCTCTTAAAGGGGCCCACACCGAGAAAATGACAACGACTACCTTAAAGGATGGAAACCATTGATGGACTATTTGCAAAATGCAGGTGGGGCGAAGCTTACATGGGGATTTGAAGATTAGATTATAAATGTAATGGGATAGAGTTAGACAAAGAATGATTCCTATTTAATGTATTAAAAACTAGCACTTATCATAGTCTTATTATTTCTAAGACCAGAGATAGATGGGAAGTTATCTATTTTTCATACCTCTACTTCACTTTTTCTTTTCCTTTTCTTTATATTTTGTATTTCAAATTTTCTTTCTCATTTCTAACTTTTAAATATGTATCTTTAAAATCTCAATAGAATATTATTAAAGGGACCCACACCGGTGACCGTAACGGAAGGAAAGCAGTAGAAGTCACTTGGTTGAGATGGGCGGCTGTAGAAATAAAATAAAATAAAATAAAATAAAATAAAATAAAATAAAATAAAATAAAATAAAATAAAATACCAGGGCCTGCTAATATGATACAAGGGGTTAGAAGGTATACGGGAACCTTTCCAGATGCTTCTTGCGCCCTTTGCTCCAAAAGGGGCACCCAGAACGTGCACTCTGCACATGCTCAGATAATGACAACTGCCTTCCTTTGGGCTACCAGATCTGGACTGCACGTGTCTGAATGTCCCACTAGATGGCGCCAAAGAGGACGAGGGTTCTGTCTCTCTCTGCTGCCCCCTGGTGGTCATCAGGAGCCTAGCCCCAACCCTATTTTTCAGACAGGGACAGGCCGGAGTTGAAGTCTGTTGTGTCACTTCTGGTGAGGTGGGCGGCATATAAATTTGATTGATTGGTTAATAAATAAATAAATAAATAAACGAGCGAGTGAGTGAGCGAGTGAGCAAGCACACAAACAACCTCTGGCCAGGAGTCCACATGTTGCACCCCTGGATTTCCAAAACTGCACAAACAGACTGCTTGAAAGGAGCTCTCTGCACTTTCTCAGAGGACCATGCTCCTCTTCTCCCCTTTCTTCTCCTACGTTAGGAAACCGAACCTCGCTGGGGGGGCAGGGCCGGATGGGGACCGAGACCCCCGGCGCGGGTGAATCAGAAAGGGCTGGATTAACCGGCTGCCCTTGGCACGAAAGCCAGCCGCATTCTTTCTCCTTGCGAGCTCCAGCAGGGATGAACCAGCTGGCAAGGCTCCGGCCCGTTCTCCTGTCCAAGGTCCGACTGCCCAGGGGCACCAGCCAAGGGGAGGGCCCTGGGGAAATTTCAGGTGCCTGCGAGCCCAGGAAGAGGCCATCCCTCCTGGTGAATTTATTGCCATTTGCTTCCTGGTGCAGCACCCCCAGCTCGGCAGGAGAGAGAGCGAGGGAGTCCGTCCACCGCCAGCCTCTGCCCGGAGTGCCAGGAAGGGATGGCCACGCTGCGCCCCCGGCCCACCAAAGCCAAGCCCGCTCCACCCCCCCATTACTACGAGGGCTTCTTGGAGAAGAAGAATCCGTGGGACCAGGTACCCCCCCTCTGGGCTGCTTGGAGAAAGGAAACAGGAGCGAGGGGGGCCAGAGGCTCTTTCGGGCTGTGCACATCTGGGGGGCAAATGCAGTTGCTTCCGCCCAGGTTGCTGAGCGCCGATAATCGGGGCAGGGTCCAAACTCTAATGGGGGGGCAGAGCAGCCTGGCGCCAGCCGTCAGGAACCAACACAGCAGCTGTCAGAAAACTCAGCGCTCCTCCAAGTCTGCTCCTCGGATGGGGGTCAGCCCCCAAACTATTTGTTGCTGGCCCCCGAGAAGAGATAAGAATAGAATGTGAGAAAGTGGAGAAACTTTGCTGGACGTTTGATCCGGCGCTCGGTGTCATTTGAGGGCCCTAAAAAAATTGGGCTGGCATTTTGTAGGTCTTGAGTTCTGTTTTTTCCCCTTTTGTTTTTCCAATTGTTCCCGTTTATGGTCTTTTACGAAAGGGTCAGGCCGTGAAAATCCGTCCCCTGTTCCAGCTGCTTGGGAGGGGCTGAAGGAGAAACGTGGATGCTCTGGGCAAAGATGTTTGGGGGGCCCCGCGAGAATCAGTCTGTTATGGGGCAGTTCTCCCCAGCCTTTTACACGGAGGAGTCGCGGTTCAAGCTACGGTTCAGGATCGGAAACGATCCGATGGACTCGTTTTTTTAACGAAGCCATCAGAGACGTTTGTTCGAATGGAAACTCCAAGACTAATTCAGCGTTTGGGGGGCTTTCAGTTTGCTCCTGCGTCCTGGGCGGTGGGTTTCGATGGACCAAATCTAACCCAGGGGAAACAGCTGGGGTTGGAGGTGGCGAAAAGAAAATATGGAGATTAAGTGGGCATTTTTTCTCTCAGAGGCTGCAGCAGAGCCCATCCTGGCTCTATCCATCAGTCGCTGGCTGCAGGGGGGTCCAAAAAGTCAAGATGGTGGGCGAGACTGTGGGATCCAAGCCCCTCCCCTTGGAAGTGCCTTTGAAGTCAGCCCCTTGTATTTGTTCGCCTTGTCTCTTTACCCTAACAGGATTTTAAGAAATACTGGGCTGGTCTGTGGGGCTCTACTCTGTATTTCTACAACACCAGCAGAGAAAATCAGGTAACTGTTGCGTGGTGTGCAAAGCATCGCAAAAGGGTCCTGCTCTCTCTAAGGGGGATCTCCATATTTTTGTGCTGATGTGAATGGGACCAGAAGCAAAAAACCAGAGGTTATCATTCTGTTTGGGGTCATTCCAGATGTGGACTTATTTGTGTGTGGATTTGATCCATCTCTACCCCACTTTTCTCAGGAGATTCCAGGGGACATGCATGGAAACTCCCCATACTTTACAACAACCCTGTGAGGTAGGCTGGGCAGGGAAAGAGGGAGAGGCAAAGTAAAACAGTGAGTGGGAACTTGAACCCAAAACTTCCAACCTCTGCACCTTAATCACTAACCTGGCTTTTAGCACACACCCTGTCATTTTTTAGGAATTCAGTGCCCACCCACCCAAATAGCTCCCTGAAAAATAAATCCAAAAGGCAGCAAATGTTGGCTGCCAGTTTAGAAAAGAAAAATGGAAAAATATGGTGGAATGGAGTAAACCAATCTTTCTAAAACCCAAACTCTATTTAGATGTTTCCCTGTAATTCTATGCCCTACCTAAAAAAAAAATTGGGGGGTTGCTTTTTACTGTTTTTATTGAACAAACCTGTTTGTTTTATTAACAAACATTACCAAGTATCTAAATTAACATAAATTTATTCCACAGTTCAACTCTGAGCTATGTATATTCTCTTCTATTGTAATCCCTGCTTATCTGGGTGTTGGCCGCTGGAGAGGATCCGATCTGGTCTTTGGGTTTTCTTCTTAGCTTTTTTACTGTCTCTTTTGAACGGTGTGTAAATGTAGTTTCTCTCTATGTGTCTATGAGTCATGTACAACGTCCAGTGTAAGGACTGAAGCAGCCACTGTGTAGGACAGACGGGCAGAAGGCTAGCAGAGCGCATCCATGAACACCAACCAGCAGTCAGAAGACACAGTGAAAACTCCTTAATCTCACAACCCATGGACAGACTCAACCATAGTTTCAACTGGGAAACTGTCAGTTGCTTAGACCAAGCTAAATCCAAAAATGCAAGGGAATTCTTGGAAGCCTGGCATTCAGACAAGGCAGCCATCCATAGACACATAGAGATAAACCACACTTACACCCCATTCAAAAGAGACAATTAAAAAACGCTAAGAAGGAAGTGAAAAGACCAGAACGCCTCCTCTCCACCAACCAACACCCAGATAAGCAGGGATTAACACCAGACAAACAACCAAGCAGAAAACAATATCCCAATCAAGGAACTACCAAGGGGAAAACCATACCCCCACCAATACTGGCAGGGCAAGCTACTGTATATAAACAGGGAGAAAACCCCACACCCCTTTGCACTGATGTCACCTAGTCGGGTAATGAAACGTCTCCAAGCAAACAACCCAGCTCAGAGAGCACCAAGGACTCTTGCAATCAACACCCAGATAAGCAGGGATTAACACCCGACAAACAATCAGATAAATTAAGCAGAGGGCTAAAGAACCTAATACATTTGGGGCAATAAATTAGTGGTAGATAATTTCCTTTCCATGCCTAAAGTCCTGGATTCAAATCCTTGGCATCTCTAGTAAAAAAAAAAAAATCACGCAAAAGACCCTCCTTTGTTTGAAACTGCTGCTAGGCAGAAAAACATTTGTGGGGCTCATGAACAATTTGATCTAGCAGAAGCCAACATCCTACGTTTCAAAAGAGGGCCAGCTGGAGTGGGAGTGAGAAGGAAGAAAGCTAGCCACGTAGGCTGACTTGGATAACTGCAATCCGGAGGACCAGAAGCTTGGAAACTGACTTTTATGCACCCTTCCTCACCCCCAGTATATTGAGAAAATTGATCTGACTAACTTGGTCTCCCTGGCTGATGACAACTGTCCAGGAACTGTGGCTTCCAGGTCTACAGACCAGCCAGGCTTGACTCTGAAGATGAAGAACCAAGAAGTGAAGTTAAGGGTAATGTATTTTCTTCCATGTTAAATTCTGCGTATGAGGGCATTACCCCATTGGTCAGTTAGCAACCTTATTCTTCCCCAGACCTTTGCACGAGGATAGTAAGTTCCCAGCTGAAGGGTGACAGTATATTTCAGTTCTGATTCCCATTTTATTCTCTTCGTGGGTTTTAAGGGTACATGTTGTTTTCCGTGTTTCTTGGTTGATTGTTTTCTCACCCTCTCACTCTCTTTGTGTGTGCGTGTGTGTGTGTGTGTGTGTGTGTGCATGCACACATGGGTGTACTGCCCAGGGTCACTTTGTCTGAGTTGGGCAGCCATATAAATATGATAAACAAGTAAACAAACATTCAGCAGATAAATCAGCATAAGAATAGTTTTCCAAAGCAAGAAGATTAGGAGCCATTGTGATGTTTGATGTTGATTATGCGCCATCAAGTTGGTGCCAACTGTTTGCAACCAGAGAGACGAGTCTCTCCAGGAAGACCTGCCCCCAGCCTGGTCCTTCAGGTCTCCCAAGGGTGCCCCCATCGCCCCATGGCTGAGTCCCTCCCCCTGGCTGGTGGTCCTCCTCTTCTCCTCTTTCCTTCCTCCTTTCCCAGCATCAGAGCCTCCTCCAGAGAGCTGCTGGGTCTTCGCATGATGGGTGTGAAGTAGGATGATTGGAGCCTGGTCATTGGTGCCTCGTGTGAGAATCGGGGCTGATGTGGTCAATGATCCATCCGTTCACTTCTGGGAGCTGAAGCCCGTAGGTCTAAAAGGGGCAGAGGTTGAGAAACACCGCTCTGGTCACATCTAGTTCTGACCAGTTACATAAACTATCCCGAAGATTTCTATGAAAGTTGGCTGGATATTTTATTTTTTAAGTTCTGCTTGGGGGTTGGATTATTATCGAGGATTAGAGCTACTGGATCCAGACCATAATTAGAATCATACCGACTATCATAGGGTTGAAGGACCTCGGAGGTCATTTAGTCCAACCCTCGGCCCAGGACAAGAATCTTAGATAGCAATGCATTGTTTTCCGTATCCTTTTCTGCCATCTAGCAGGGATCTAGCAGCCAAGTTATGGTACCTCTACTTTATTTTTTCCTTTTCCTCTGTCTTTGATATGCTTTTAAATTGGTTTTTGATGTACTGTTCTGCAGTATGCATTTCTGTTCAGGAAACTACTTCTAAATGATTATTTGCTTGAGTTTCATGAGGCTCACTTCTTGCAATTATTTATTTTTATTTATATATCAAATTCATCACTGCCCATCGCGTTGAAACAACTCTGGGCGGTTTG